TGGATATTGTCTTGAAGCAGGAAAAAAAAACTTCTTTTTAGAATTATAGGTAATGACTAAAACCATTTGGCATTCAGAGCCCAAGTACTAATTTCTTTGACCTGCCACGCTAAGCCAGATACATGTATGCATTTTGCCTGCAAAATAGGAGACAAGGTTCTTTAAGCAGAATAAAAAGAGGCTTCCTGAATCCATCATGCTATTCATCATCTAAAATTCCTCTACTAAATAGCTTTATATATTTAACAGTAGCACTAAAATAGCCATAACACCAAATATCAAAAATTAACTACCTGGACAATGGATCATTCAGCCAATAGGAATGGCATCAGAATGGCCCTGTCACTGAGGTTTGTGGAGGATCCAGATAGCATCATCTTATACTTTGCAAACAATCTGGACTTTTCCTAGACAAAAATCTGCTACAGAAAGATGATGGAACAGCTTACTTTGCTCTTCAATTAGGATGTAGCAGCTCTCAGCGTAGAAGCAACATGGAAACATCTTGAGAAATGCCATTATTATTGCTGTTTGGAGACGATCATAGGCTGATAAAACTTCACTACCATACTTGTCTTGGTGAACAAAATTATATACTATCAATATGTCTACTTCCTGAATGTGAATATAGTGCAGCAGTTTTATATCCAATCCACTCTGTTGTTTTCCTGTAACTTTATGGCAAACAACCTTTTCACTTACCTGAATTCTGCACAGGTAAATTACAATAGAAATTACAGGTTGCACAAACAAAACAAATTTAAAAATAGTAAACCTAAATACAATACTGTTGATAAAAAAAATCATTAACACACCATATCATTTATCATTATAGCACTAATTGATATCATAACATCTTACAGGCACCATACATTTTACTGAAAAATAAAACAATGTTGCCCCAGAAGAGAAAGAAATAATAATAATAAAAAGACTTTGGAGCTAAGAATAATTTTCTAGCTGTCATAACAGCACAGTTGGGAGTAACCAGGAATCTAGAGTATAGATTCTGGGCATGTATAGGTTGCTTGCAGCACAATTTGATATAATTTTCTTACTAATTGAGTGACGTTAAAACACATTCATTATTCACAATGACTCAGTGTTCATTTGTGACTTGAGTCTAAACTGGTATCTTCAGGGAAATCTTAACATTAAACCAGGAGGCCACATGCAGACCTCCAGGTCCCAAATACAGGTCTATAGTACAGTGGGGTCTTGACTTAAGAACGGCCCGAGTTAAGAACATTTTGACTTACAAACCGCTCTCATAGGAAAATATTGACTTGACTTAAGTACTTAGATTTGAGTTAAGAACTGAAAAAAAAACCCATGTGGGAGGCAGGGAAAGTGCAAAATTTGAACTTTCAGTTAACTGTTGGCCAGTGAAAAGGGTGCCTGTCTGCTTCCTC